GTATCTAATAGTTGATATATATTTCATTTCAGTAGGAAAATAAGATCAATATTTGGCTTTGTATTATTTTTAGCAGCAACTATTTCTAAAACCTAGGGAAAAAACATACTAATACAACGATATTCAAAATAGTAGCTACTTACTTACTTAAGCCAGAAATTAAAATTATACAATACTTCATTTTATTCATCACAGTATTCTAACCACACGCTTTCTCTGCATCCTAGTTGCAAGCAATAAAGTCCTTGCTTTCTGGTGATCTTAGTAAAGCTATTATGCTTAATCCACACAATGTGAAGTACTCCGTACTTTCAGTTTACAAGTCTATGGATTAATTCTGACCTGTTACTAACACCAATTGTTTCTACCACTACTACCTATAAGCAGTAATTCTGGACTGAGGTTCCCACGCATGCATCCTGCTCTTGAAACACTCATGTTTTTTCTTGATCAGTGAATACGAAAGGTTTCAATTTACTTGATCCTCATTTAATCATGAAACTTGCACTTTCCCTGTTTTGCTCTCTCCTTGGTATCTCCTCAGTATTGCCACTGTAATGACAGCTCAAACTGCATGCCCTCATCCTCCCGATCAAATTTGTTACTTGTTTTTCATGTAGTAATGATGCTACTTAGGCCACCAGGAGAAAAGGTGTTTGTGTTTGTTTTTTTTTTTTTTTAAACAGTTCATTAGCTCAAATGAATTAGTAGAATGATTTCTTTCTTGATTTCCTAACTTTTAACTTGATGAAAGGAATTTTCCACCATATACTTGACTTATCGCTAACTTCAACACAACATTCCATATTAATAAAATACTCCCTTTCACCCCTTTTTCCAAAGTTGTTTCCTAGAAAAGAAAGCCAAACTTCTCCAATAGTAAACACATAATACTTTACAAATAATTCACTAGAGACTGAAGAGCTAAACAATCATTTGTGTGTTTCAGGAAATAATACTAACATTGTAAATAACATTTTATCTTACCCAAAAGTAAGCAAGATGATTTATGAAGCAAATAAAAAGAGACAGCTCCAAACCAAAAGAGCTTAAGCTGGAGGCTAAGCAAAGAAAAAATAAGGAAAATATACACTCAGATCATGCTGAATTGCAATGAAAATTGTTGTGTTTTCTACTTTAAAACCTCTTCACAATTAGATCACTAAAATAGTAAATGACAGAAGACAGAGTATCTCTATTTATGAAGAAGCCAAAGGTAATACTCAGGCCAAAGGCTGCACTTACAAGAATCCCAGATCAGCGTGCCAAAAGAAGGCCTTATGGTGGGGTCCAGTTACCTGCAGGTGCTGAAGGCCATTTGAGATGCCCTAAAGTATGCAAGAAATCTATATGAGATCAGCAGATAGGACACAGAGACTTATGGGGAATAAGTATCACTCTGTAGTGGAAGCTGGGGGCATGCAGGATATCCCACAGCAGTAAAAATTACACTAGATACCTAGATTTAGGCAAATTAATAATGTCTTTAATGGCTAATATTATGACAGGGACCTCAAAAAACCAATCAACCAACCAAACAAAAAAAAGACACAAAACATACAGTTCCCATTGGCCCAGAGAACTGAATTCAGTAACCAGTCAGCAAGCTGTGGGAAGACTGATAACAGCCTATGAATCTTACTGCATGTCTGTATGTTCTATGGAGGATGAATATCCTCAAAAAAAACATAATAAAAGACAATCTTGTCTCTGCTATTTTCATGTAATGAAGAACAGCTGTTTTCCAGCCACTGTGTTTATTGTCTTCTTCCATCCTGTCTTCCACCATGCTCTCAGCCCTATCACCCTCTCAGGTGGTATCTATTGTAGTGGTTCTATCTTGGTTCAAGAGAATTTATAATCCCAATGTAAGAAAAGAAACAACAGTTAAAGATAACAAACAACTGCATATAGGTAACAGTGATCCAATATAGAAGAATGCAAGAGGATGGCATACTGGTTGCCTTACTGTAGTTCAGATTTTTTCAGGCATTGTGGCAACATTCCTACCTTCTAAGGAAGGATTTAACGAGAGATAATATATTAATTAGGATAACTGATTATTTGTAGTTTTGCTAACTGTCTTCTATAAAATGGAGTTCTTCCTGGAAAAACTGATACAAGGATTTAACGAGAGATAATATATTAATTAGGATAACTGATTATTTGTAGTTTTGCTGTCTTCTATAAAATGGAGTTCTTCCTGGAAAAAGTGATACATGAGCTCCACAGCTTTACAGCGTGTTAGTGATATCATAGGACTACTAAAGTGCAAAAGATGAGGATCAGAACACATAAATTCCTAAATATCTATCTCACACTTTTCATATATCTTTGTGGCTATTATATCACTGCAGGTTATACTTAAGAAGTCAAACAAAGATATATATGCTATTGCTTTTTAATGTAGAATAGCTATACACATTCCAATTAAATAATTTTTTCTGACCTGGACATCTTTTGTGAGTATTTTGATGACTACCACACACTCTGTAGTTTACAGGTGCATTTTATTCAAGGGAATGTATGTAACTGCACAAGCACTCAATCATAAAGTAGTAACCATACAGTAACAGTACTTTATTCTAAAAGGGGTATAAAGTAAAAGCTATTCTATTTAACAAGGGAGAAATTAACGAATCTCCATTAGACTGCTATATAGACTAGAATATTATCACCAGAATAGAAGCTATATTTTAGGAAAGTAGTGATCCCCAGATCAATATGTCCTAAGGGTCATTTAATTTTGCAGAAAAAAATTGAATTACTCGTTAGTGAGGAAAAGCACTGCACTAAGTCTAAAAATTACTACCAAAAACCTCTCTTGAATCTATTCTGTTTTCCTGCCTTTTCACAGTACCACTTTAAAACAAGAACTAAAAGAAAGGAGTGAAGTGCATCAGAAACTTAGGCTGGTCAGGTGGAATGGGGATAGGAGTTCAGAATGGCTCCATGGAAAGAAACCGTTGTGTAGAGACACCACAATTCTCTGGCTACCCTGAAAGCCAGAAGTTGCATCTCCTACTGCGTGCTGCTGTCATGACCAAGAGAGGCCTGCTGAAACCTAGGAGGAAGCAAGCAGTGAGGAGTGAAACGAGGGTTTGAAGCTCAGGCAGTGGGGAAGCGATGAATGAGTGGATTCCTTCTGTTATTTAGGAAGAAAAAGGCAGAAGTATGTGAACTCACCTGTAGTACTGTAAAAGCCAAAAGTAAAGAATATCAGAGCTTTGATAATTAGTCTTCCCACATTCTTCTATTAGGCTGGTGAAATGATACGTGTGCTACAAGTTACAGCAGGCTATGTCAAGCTACGGGTAGACTGGTGCCGCTATTAATGGTTGGACTGGATGATCTTAAAGGTCTTTTCCAACCTAAACGATTCTATGATTCCATGATTCAATGGCCTCTGAAATGCAGAGGGATCAATAAAACAGATCAGAATATTAAAATACAGTACCTGCAGTACAAATGTGTATTAGAATACTTGAAATATTGAAACTACCTGAACTAAGCAAACTTACCTCAAAGCCCCCTGTAATTCTGCCATTATGCTACATTAGAAGAAATCCCTTCCAAAGATTAATCAGCTTAGCTAACCGTACACCATTTAAAACTGCACAGAGCAGAGTATTAGCCATTCATAGAGGATACAAATAACTAAATATGTCCTTTCTGCCTGGCAAGCACCATATAGTTCAAGGTGGATCTGAAAACTGAGAAAGAACCTGGGCCAACATGATCTCAATTGTTATTTTCAATAATAAAGTACAGCTAGCACCTCAGCATGCAACTCTCACTTGAGTGGAAGGGGACAGGGATAAAATATAATGTTCTGAAATAGCTTTTATGGAAGTCAGGCAGTTTGTGACACGTATTTGGTCTCTGGAGCTGCAGTCTTGTTTAATCCTCTACTTTTAAATGCCATCTTCCAAAACCAAAGGGTAACAAGTACAAATTGTATCTATAAAACAACATCACAACTTTATTCTCAATAGCTAAGTATTGAAATGCAAGCATACATTATAAATAGAAAAACAGCTGGCTTGGAGCACATTGCAAGCCACTAACACAGTTGAGGGATTTGAATGACATCATAACCCGTGAGAGCATGTTGCTGGCCAGCTGGTGTTATTTATAATATACTCATAATTGAGGAAAAATAAAAAGGCAAAAGTTAGGTATTGCAGAACTAACGAAGCTGAATTCTCTCTTTCCCAGTGTCATTTAAATTGTTATCAAGAGTAATTACGAAGATTACTACTAAAAAGGGGGAAAATAACTTTATAATTACAACAGCACATTTAATATAAATGTCATGGAAGCCCCCCAAACTGGGCTACTTGTGTTACTAATATTGGTAGTACTGTAAATTCTAGGAAATGATACAACTTCTCCTGTGTGGTTGCTAAAAGATCAAAAAGCTATTTTGCCCTACTTACAAGTAGTGCTCAACAATTCTGTTATTTTTAGCAAATTACAAACTGCTATTTTAGGGTTAATAGCACAGAGGGTTGGAGGCTTTAATTGTTACTCAGCATATAGGTGTGCCAAGTTTGATAACAAAAAGATGCATTAAGAAAAAAAGTAGATAACCAACTGCCTGTCTTTCTTTACTATACAAATAAAATACCTGTGCCTCTATGCATAAATAAAATGTGTACATATATACAATGGTATGCATATATACAAACAATGCCCTTACATATGTAAGTTTTTATGTATTTGAAATGCAGACACACACACACATAAATACAAATACACACATAGCTATCTGAAAGTTAACCAGAATATATTTTCTTATTTTTCATGGCAGCACAAGCTTTTTTGTCTGCTAACCCCTCAGTCACTAATTCACATTCTTTTAAAGGGAAAAAAATATGCTTCTGTGCTCTAGTTTTAAAATGCAAAGGTATGATGTTATTTGTCACCATGCCCAAAAAAGTCCTTACTTGGTAACTTTGCCAGAAGAGGGAGAGAGAGAGAAGGCAAATGCTCCCCCAGCTGTTTCCTGTCTACAGTGTCTGTGTAATGTAGATAAATGTGAGGATTTTCTCTAAATCCCTCTTCTGTTTGCTAAATCTCACTGTCACTGCTAAAATCAGAGCAGATAGAGCCTGCGCAATGGAATAAAGTCCTCAATATTGAAATGTGACATTGCTCTCAACATCTCACATCTCTCTGGATTTCTTTTTTCTCATCATTACTGCTAACAAATTCATTTCCAGACTTTGCACTTTTAAGAAGCAATGGAAAAAATCAACAGTCTTTCAACACAATTAGTTAAGTGCTGCTTTTGTGATTTCTTGAAGGTAAATCTTTATTACTATTTCAAATAATTTTCTAGTTTTGTTTTACTGTGTATTGTCTGCTTCTGGTTTGAGGAGTATTGTGCACTTTTCAATAACATTATTTTAGAACTGAGAATTATTTATAAATTGCTGAACATGCAATTTTATGTGATCTGGAAAATGGCTGTATGTAATAGTTGCAATTACATAGATAACTGTAAGGATAAACTATTGCAGATACATATCTTAAATTTCACTTCTATTCAGAGAACTTTGCAATATTTCAGTTATGTCATTATTAAGGGGTCCAATTACATCACTGTTTATATTGTTAATTAATGCTTCTGAAAACAAGAACTTTTAGCAATTTTCTGCAGGTGCAGGGTTCTATAGGAAAAAAGGTATTATCACATGTTAAGTTTCTGTAGTTTTATTATACACAATTATAGATAAAATGTTCATGCTTTCACAGGGAAACTTTTAAGGGATGTTGTCACTACAGCAATTTTCTGGCAGCACTGTAGCATTTACTTGTTTTTTGCTTTCATAAATTAAAAGTAAATGTGAAGTTCAGTTTGTTTTCTGCATTAGAAACCAGCTGCGACTCTGCTGACCTTGCACATTTGTATAGCTTAAGCAATTGTACATAAAGAAAATGGAAATTCCCCTACATGTTCATCTCCAAGTTTTCCCATGTAGGGAGGGCTGTTTCAGGAAAGTTTGCATGTGAAGTTTCATGCTATGACTCTATAATGTCTACACATTAAAATAAACTGTTTTTAAGTAAATTTGGCTTCAGTAGGTGCATTGACCTCTGTTTCTGTCAGTTGGCCCTAGTTCAACTTTCCATTATCAGCAAATTTATATCCTTCAAGAACTTTTTTTCTTTAATATTTTGCTAGGACATTTATGTAGTTGACAGAATTCTCCTGTTTTAATTGTTCAGGGCCTAATTATTTTTTCAGAGTGTCTTACCTTTAAAACACACTTATCTCATTCCTTAATGTGATTCAAAAGACCAAGTCTGTAATTGCAATGGATGAAACCATTCTCTTAATGTATAAATGGGCATCCCTTCCAATATACTTGAAAGACGAAGATGATTTTTTTTTAAGCATTGAGCAAGGCACTCAGAGACATAAAAGTAATGTGCTAGTTCCTCAGCTGGTGCATCCTGCCAAGCTTCCTTGGAATCAATGGAACATATTGATTTAGGTTAGGATGTAGCCCAGATTCTTTAATCAAAGTTAGCAGTATTTAAACCATGATCCATTCTGGAGTATATATGCTTTATTTATATAATAATTACTACTGAATACTGTTATTACATACTAACTACATACTTCTACTATGGCTTGGTAATCAGGTCTATGTAGCAAAATGCAATTTTGAATATAACTCTTGATTTTTTTTTTTTCTACAGCATATACTATCCATAAAAATGTTGCCCCCTTCAAGATATCTATAATTATTATAGATATTCTTATATGTTATTAAAATTACCAAGCACAGCTTGTGCCAACTGATAGTTTGTTAAACAAAGACGACTTATATAGAACTAAGAAGTAAAAGAGGTGTAGAGTGTTCATATATAACATTCCTCTGTGGTGCCACTCTTCTGGACTATTAAAAGAGGAATGCAACAAAAGCTGGTTATTTTACTGAAAAAAAAGAGGAAATTCCAGCTGTGAAAATATGGTCAGTCATTCTATGCAACTAAAAGAAGTGCTTAACCAGGCTCATCCTGAACCTGTATTCAATTTCCAAATGTAATTAGATGCCTCAATAAACCCCACCCACATGCCAATGCATTTTCTTTTAAACTCTCAACTTTCTAGTCAAATTGGGGATGTTGCAAGCACCCTGCCTGTTTGTAAAGAACCTGAAGCAATATTGGATTACAACTTTGTATTTTCATAAGAATATTCCCCTCAGACATAAATGGCAGCTTCATTTTTATCACAAAAATATTGAATTGACTAATGTTAAGTTTAATTAAAATGATGAAGTTTTAAACTATATTTTGGAAATAGTTTGGATGAAACAGCACTTAATTTAACAAATAATTGTTTGAGCCCTGGAAAATCATGAGTCTGTTTTCTTTTCCCCAAAGTTTTTACTTGTTTGAAAGTTCTTGACTGGTTTTAAATTTGGAGATAAAGTTAGAAATTCTCTGTGGTTTATACTGTGCAGCCTTTTTGGCTTCCACTAAAGGAAAAACAGTAGATAATCTGTTTTGTTGTAGTTCAGTGCTGATATTTATCTGAAAATTCAACCCAGCTGAAAAGTCTTGAAAAATACAAAATTGTTAAATGTCTAAGGTTTATGTTTATTTCTGGCCCAAATGTTCTACAAGAACAAATTGTTAAATACATAATGTTCTTGTATTTGTAATGTCTTTCAGCCTTCTGAGGCAGTGTGCTAAACAGCTTTCTGCTTTACTTCCTCAGAACTGGGAACCATCTTAAACTGCAGGTGCATCACATTTATCTTAGATATTCAAAAACACAGCAAGGGAAAAAAGAAATTGATGTTGTTAAGATATGGAATCATTACAGAAAATAATGCCTTGTGTTATCATTATTCATTTATAATCTGATCTTCCTTCATCAGCCATTGAAATCATGCCCATGCATTAAAGCTTGTTGGTTTTTGCATGGCAAAGTTGGCTAAGATTCTTGTGAATGGGAAAATAATTACTCTTTCTTTTTATGATATATCATGGGATTTAGATTTGTTCATTGTTTTCACAGTGGAAATATCAGGAAAAAAAGGGGGGATAAATTCCGACTTATTTATAGATTTGTCTCTTATTCAGCTTTGACTTAAGTTGAAATAGAGGACTCATCCAGCAAGGTGCTAAGATCGCTTGCCAAGGAAATAAGAGTTCTTAAAAATTATTGACTAGAGAAGCCTCAATACCCCACTGGATCAGATCCCATATGAGCAGACAATAGATAATTTCATCGGTTTTTCAAAAGTTCAGTGAAAAAGTAAGATTAAATGGTCCCTGAAACCCTGAAAGAAACTTTAGGGAATATTAATCATTTTACTCCAATTACTTTGCACTAGTCTGCTAATACAAAGCAGTTTTAAGCCAAGATTAACCATATGTGCAAGAAAGATTTGTAACTTCTTACCTGACTGCAATACTAATGTTAACCTTGAAAGACAATGAAATTAAATGCAGATTTACACCTTTTGAAACTAGCATTTTTGGCAAGTGATCTAAATCAGTCCAGAATATGCATTAAGCATGTTTTTCGCTGTCCTGCTGCTAAATATAAATAGCTTTTCCTAGTTTAAAAAAAAATTATATATTCTTTGACATGTTGGGTAAGATCTTTTGTTGATGTAAATTGATATAAAAGGAAGAGGATAAATGGAATGGTGCAAATTTACACCCATTGAGGATTGGGTTTTTTTAAATCATAAGTCCAGGAAAAAGATAGTTTGTAACCAAATGTAAATGAGAAAAGAATTATCACCTCTGTGTATACCTCATAGCCAAACCTGACTAAGAGGATATAATGGAGGTCAGTGAAAGTATAACTGCTTCCATCAAGTAAAAATACAAATCCTTAACATTCCCACTAGTGCTCCTCTTATTTTCTTGAATGTTTCCAAATGTTAACTTCCTAGTAACGGAGGACTGTAAGAGTCATTGAATGAGGTCCCCTGCTATGGAAGGTCCCACATTAACTCTTCTGTAACTTTGGCAAGCTCTACCTTGAAACTTCATTTGTTTTGTCCTGGTATTTCCCTTTTTAAGGTGGCTGGCAAACCATGGAGTACTAATTATGAACCTTTTTTCTACTGGGCCAAATTTCCTTCCATCCAGTTTACAGCCATTTATGCTTGTGCCAGTGCTGTTCTTTAGTTTAAATAGCTCTTCTCTGTCATATGCCACCTCTACCTCCCACAGTACATTGGCAGGCAACTGTCATATTACCTCTTAGCCTATCTGGTCTCAGACAAAGCAATTCAAGATTGTATAATCTTCCTTACTCTTATTATTCTGGGCTTCGCTTTGTCTGTCTATTGCAGTCTTCCATATCCTCCTTTCACAGGAGCAACCATAAATCATAGTTACTATGAGGTTCTCTAACTACGTGTGAATGTGAACCAAGAATATTTACCACAGGAAGTAATCAGTTTACAAAATACATGCACTAGAATATGTAGACAGTTGCAAAATTATGGTAAGGCACTTTCCGATATTCTGTTTATTGTCTAACAAATTACAATACGTATGCATTCTCAACTCATAAGGGTGCAGGAGTCATTTTCTTTAGGACTCTTGCGAAATTCTGACACTGCTTTTTCTTCTTTGGCAGGTGAAGATGCACACTGTGTCCTACATTCATTTCTTCTACCTTGGCCTGTGTTTGCTTACCTTAACCAGTTCTGCTGCTGCTGGCCCAGAAACACTCTGTGGTGCTGAGCTGGTTGATGCTCTTCAGTTCGTGTGTGGAGATAGAGGCTTTTACTTCAGTAAGTCAACCCTTTCTTTCATTCAACTGCTAAGCTTTTCCACATAATCCATTGGAGTTTGCAAGTGCTCTAAGTGAGCTTAGAAATGACCAAATCAGGCTGCCAAGTATGACTAGTATCCTCTGTCTTGGAGATGCCCAAGTCTTCAGTGACCATGAAGTTTCAGTAAAGAATAAAGCTATGCCTGTGTTCAGCCTCTCTGAGTTTCCACCAAATTTTCCTCTTCAGTGTTTAAAAACGAGTGGTATTGTTTTTAACCACTTTCCAGCTGCTGCTATTCCACCTGCTATATTAATGCTTTCAGCTCACCTGCCACTGAAATTAAATTAATGAAAGCACATAATAGACCCAAGATATTCATGAGGCAGGTCTGCATGTACCTCTTATGTCAGACTACTCATGAACAGTTTAAGTACACATTGTATCATATTAAAAACACACTAAGCTTCAACATCTCATTTGAAGGCAGCAAGCAGAAAGTTACCGCATCCAAGTATCCACATGCTTCGTCAGTTAAATACAGGTGAAAAAAAATTCATGCATGGTGAGCTAGTAAAGATTAACACCAGTACAGACAACAGATAAAATTAAGTCTGCAATTGTGTGGATATATTGGTACTCAGATAACTTTTTGGAGCAAGACCTACCATTTGGAACCGAACATCACAATATTTTTCTTTGGCTGTGTTTTGGATTGTGCAAAGCTGGAGTAGTTAGATAAGTAACTCTTTTATCTTAGTACCTTCTTCCAAGTGCTGTCAAGATCAAGAAATACACAACTTGTAAATAATAGAGATCTATTTTTAATTTTCAGCTATTTGCTACTCAAATATCACAAAGTTAATGAAACTTTTAGCTAGGAATATATTCATTCTGAATTCATTCATTAATATATTTATTCAAAACATGCAAGAATGTGTGTAAAAGCACACAAAAGCCTCTGAAGCTAGTGTTTACTTTTAATAATATGTGCTTGTCTGAAGTTACATCTGCTTCAGGGCCTCAGTTACCTTTCCAAACAAGAATATAATTAAGAAAAGGAAATATGGGGAGGTTAGGCTATAAAGACAAGAAATTAACTGAAGGGTTTTTTTTTTCTATTTATTTTTATATTCTTTGTGAGGTCTATGGTTTGTGGTTTTTTTTAACTTTTATAATCCTCATTTTATCCTAATAATTCTTGCATTCTAAGCTATCACTTTTGTTTTTTCTGATCTTACCAACCCTATTCCTGTTCATTTCTATTCATGGAGTTATTTTTTTCAATATTTTTCTCCTTGTTTGCAATAAAAATAGAATTTGGGCAATCCAGATTCTTATACCTTTAATTTACAGAAAATCCTGATTTCCTCAACATACAAGCTGCAGACATTTTCACTATCTTCTTGGCACTTTCTGTTAAAGTTTACCTTTCAAACTGGGAGGCCTAGTTTCACATATGCAAAGTAATTCACTAAAGAACCCTTCATTTCTGTATTTAACACTTTAGCTATCATTAATGAGCATCTACTCTAGGGTGCTGTTTAACAGTATTCTGATGCTAAAGACAATATTAAAAATACTGGAATCTCTCATAAAGGAATTTACATTTTTCTACCAACTGTTTATGTGTTCATTTGAACACCAAAATCTGTTATGTTTATCAGTAGCTGAGTTACACTTAAGTGGCTATTTGAGTGTCCTACAAATACTTGCTCTTCATGGCTGGAAGGAATGTAAAGGAAGACTTTCACTTCCCCCTCCTGTTTCTGCATGAGAAAACAATGAGACAATATACTGCATGCTTAGAACAGCATAGCAATTCCTTTTTCCTGTGCATGTATCTTAGGCATTTTCCCAGTCATTTCTCTCCCAGCAAAATGTTTGCTCATAGTTCAGAGACCTATCACACTTGCTTACCACAAGAGTGGCTGTTACTGGCAAGCAATCAGACTTACTGTTATGTGTACTCTTTGTATTCCTCAAGGCTCTTACCTCTTGGAGGTGTGATATGCTAATCATCAGCAATAACTCTCTTTGTTTTCAATCTGTTAGTCTAAGGTTGCACAATATGTTTCAAATATCCACATTCCCTAAGCTAGATCATCCTCACTTTAAAATACCAGCATAGGTTTCTGAAGTTTTAAAGGAGATCTTTACCCTTGCAATCTTGAGTTATCTGCTGTTGGTAAAGACTTTCTCTCTAGTTTTCTTTGTATTCTTACATTTTGAGTTTTCACTTGAAATAATGTAACTCTTGACACCATAAAAGTCTACCTTGTTTTGTATGGAAGACTGTGGAAGGTTTTACTGATGAATGACCACCCTGTTTTAGGAAAGTCTTGCACTGTTGTAATCAACAGACTGCAATGGCAACATTCAACAGGAATTTTATGAAGTTGATATGTGGCTCTTGGATGCTAAGTAATGTGTGTCCTCTACCTGACTACTTCTGATTCATGAGGCAGCAATTTAATCTGTTTTAGCCTTCTCTCTCTGATTTGTTAGTGTTTAATCTAAAATATAGAACTATTGAAAAGTAAGTCCTGTAACACTGGTAAAACAACTTGAGATCCTCATATCAAATGTATGACAGAATGCAGTATGTTATTGGAAGTTAAAAGTATTGCTCCATTTCTTGGGGCTTTTTAAGAATATCACATCATTTACAGAAGTAAAAATCCAGTGAGCTTTTTTCTTTTAGAAAGAAGAGGAGGTCAATTGAAATTGTATTTTAAACCTCCTATTCTCGTACCCTGGTTCCTTTATATAAAATATAATCAGTGGTAATGTTTGCCTTTAACTTGCACAGGAAATAGCTGCGAGGGAAGGTTTTTCTTCCATCATTCTGTATTTCACTAGAGACTCCAAATATAAAGAATACCTTTTGGCTGAGGTGGAACTCCTGGTTCAGATTCAAGGTCAAAACTTCTGACTATTCCTTGGGAGTTGTGGGTGGAAATGAAGATAGAAATAATTGAGTTACTTTCTGTTGAAACTCTGTACTCCACAACCACAAGGCTATAACTACAGCTAGGGCTGGAAGAAAAAAAATTCCTTTATATAGTCTACTCTGCCCAACTTCCTAGCTATAAATGGAAATTCTTTACAGCTTCTGAAGAGATATCCCAGCTGCTTACCATACACAAAGGAAAGTATTGACTTCAAGAGGAAGTCAAATGTGGTTTCTACCACTCCCTGTCTTCATGAGGTAGACTGGCAAGGAGCATTTCTTAAAGCGTTTTTTTAGGGGAGAACACTGCACAAATCCCAAAATAGAGCATCTGCCTTTTCCGTTGGTCACATTTAACCCCAGCCAGCACTGGCTACTTCTTGGACAGTTTGTTCTCTCCCATGATTCACCAGTGAAGAGCAGTTTGTTGCCACCTTTTACCTAGCAACACGTCTCTAGCAGATCTTTTGCCACCCAAGTTCCTGTGCGCTAGCTTATGTTAGGAGAAGCCAACAAACAGAGAGCTTGGCCACAGCTACACAAGTGGCTACATTTAGACACAACTCTTCTCAATTAATGTTTCTCTACTCGCAAAACTCTGGATTCAACAGTCATGAAGCAAAGTGGGATGGCTGCTATGTTCATTTCAATTTTAATGTCTAGAAAGGTCTACCATACCACTGCTATTACAAAACAATGCTCAGAGCAGAGAATGCTAGAAAAACTGAAAGGACAAATTACAGGAAACTTACAGAAGTTATAGCCCCAGAGAGGGGAAATTTTGCTTTAAATAGTCTAGTCTTATCACAGGAATTTACTTGGTAGACTAATCAAAAAAAGATATTTTCTTTTTTTTTTTTTTCTTCGTACAAGTTGAATTTGATGGACAATCATTCATTCTTGTTCATGTTGTTTCCTGAGGACTATTACTACCATGAGAAGGGAAAGCAAATGTAGTTTGCTCTAAGGAGTAAATGCTATATTCTTTTTTAAATCTAGATTCTTCTCCTTTGAAAATATACCTTTTCCTTCTCCAATAAATGGATACCAGTTTGGCTAACAATACACACGATTGCCAATAAAGAAATATCTTTCTTATTTCCTTAGACACTTTCGGTCATTCTAATTTCTAAAGCCCAAGTTAGATGGCAATACTTATTTGAAACCATGGCAATGAATTTCATGAATTAAAACCCACCTTTTTTTTCTGTTAAAAAAACCCTGCTTTGGGCTTATGGTGAATCTTCTGAAGCATCTTCTGAACAGAGAGAAGTTCCTTGCATAGAAAAGAAGGAGCTGAATTTAGATACTTGACACAATGAAGTTCTGATATTCTTCAGAGAATGGAGAATGATATAGCACATGCTTCCATATGTAAAAGAGTGAATCCCATAAAACACAGGATTTTCTGGTATCCAGCCTAATGCTCCTTGTGTCAACTGCTTTGTGAAGAATCATTACAGATTTTTACTACCTTTTTTTCCACTAAGATAATCAGAGTTGTCCCAAGGACAACTCCTTGGGAATATCCCCAGCTGTGCAGAACATAAGACTATTGGTTTACAATCATCAGAAAATCAGGATAAGACAGTGAACACAATTTTGGGTAATCAGAGCTGTCATCAGATCTCATTGGACTTAGTAGGACTAAGGTATACATCAAGGAATTGCTGTCTTACAAAGGAGGAAAGAAGGGGCATAGCAATAGGCATTTACATTTTGCTTCTTCCATTTCCCTTTAGTTAACAGCTTCTTGTTTACTCCAGGAAGTCTGCTTTTAAGATGTTATTAAAGTTTCTAGGCCTGTCAAACCTATCAACATAATTACAAGAGATGGCATGGCACTCAGTTCTTTAACTGCTCCATACCTGTAGGAGCTATGAGTCATTAGCTCCTCTCTGCGTCCCTGATTGAAAGGAATGTTAATGTTACGAGCCCAGGAGAGGCATGCTGAAAAGCTGCAGTGGACACACACAGCCTGTGGTTTCAGTGACAGTATTACAAATCTTTGCAAAGAAATGTTGGTCATCTTGGCTATGTTCACACAGCAAGATCTGAGAATGTTTTT